CCTTTTCTAGGCAGATTCATAAGGAAGTGCCTGAGAGGCAACTTTCCCCACTGACTGCCAGGATAAAGGAACTAATCACTGAAAAACGGGGAGGTAAAGTGGTGGACTTGGTGAATACATAATGTTTCCTATGACATCCTGGGCCCCAGATGTTATTAAGGAATGAAGCTGGATACTTCTTGATGAGGGCCTTTAATCTCTACAAGACCTTCAGAATTCATGTCATAAAGTGAGACACAACATTTAGTTTAACGGTGGCAGTGAATGTTCTTCAGAAAACATTCAGTGACTTCCAGAATATTTTAACTGACTTTCTTAAAAAGATTTGAAAAAAAAAAAGTGAGATTTGTTTTCTTCAGGTCAGCAATTCTTTATTTTGGGGAGAGGCTGTGGAGGAGAGAGAGGGTACCAGATACAAGCTATAATTCAGGAGGGTGATACAAGGAAGGTCAGGCAGGACAGAATGATGTGTGAGATCACTTTAGAAATATCACCAGGTTCCCTTGGGAGTTATAAAGGTGCCTTAATTCTTGTCCTTGCCAAACATCCTATAATAGTACGACAAGATTTTATTTATTATCACAGTCAAATTGGACTCTTACACTCTGGGTAAGCCACAGGTGTGGAATGTCAGTCATGGCTCTTACAATCATCAGAATGGCTCTTGTTAGGTCATTAAGGAAAAGAAAGTATTCAAGATAAGACCCTCCAAAGAAAAACCTCATCTTCTTCAGGTTGGAGAGGCACCTGTTTGCTTTTATTAGGCACCTAGTTGGTTGTGCCTGAAACAACGGAAGGAAAGAAACCTCCCATTTTAAAATCAAACTTCCCTGATGAGTTGGGTACCTTAATTATGAAGTCTAAGCTTTTGTTGCCTAATTTCGAAGTATTTTAGTAGAGAATGGTTTGCACATATTGAGCCTCGAAAGGAAATAATTACAAAGTATGTAAACAGACATTTCTGTATACTAATAAATACCTATACTTAGCTATGTTTGCCTTTATGGATGTTATTAAATGTATTAAATACACATGGTATTAAATATTTATGGTTAACTTTTTGTTTTTTGATGCAAAGATGGATATATTCCACCAGAATGAGCCATGTCTGTGAGAAAGTAGACGCTTTAGGGAGAAGTTAACTATAATATACATATCTAAGGACTTCATCCTGTTCTCAAAAAATACTTCACTAGAATATGTTTGAATCTGCTTAAATCTAATGATTTTATTATAGCTTCCTATCATAGGTTTCATGTCTGACCACCATTCACACCTACCCAGATTATGCTTAAAAATATTAAGATTAGATAGATTCTTACTGGAGATTCACCTTTAAAATAAATTTTAGTAAGCCATAGTTAAAAAACAAGGAGAAGGAAGAAATTTTTAGAAATTTATTTATCCCAAATATAACATGGGATAAAAATATCAAGAGACAAGTGGAAAGTCTCAATCTTGAAATAATTTTTTAAAAAGTTAAGTAACTCAACAGGGACTTATTAAAATACTTTAAAAGGCTCTTGTAAATGAATGTGAAAAATCTGCCTTAAAGAGATAATCTAGATATTTGGCTTCCAATTCTGTCATCAGAATACCTCTTAAAAAATAAGATTTAAAATAAGAATAATGTAGACCTGTAGGAACATGGAGAATGTGAATATTATTAATTATAAGAAGGAAATATCTTAGGCATTTAAAACACTTTTGTCCAATGATTAGGGTTTCAAGGTGGATAGAGAAAAAGTGTCTATTACTTTAAGGTTCCCTGGAAGAAACTAAGACTCCTTGTAAGTTCTTGCTTCTTGGAGATGCCTAAAGATAGGCTATTGTTGAAGTAAAAGATGACTCTCAAATATAATTAGCTGAATATGGCCAGGTGTGGTGGCTCACACTTATAATCCCAGTGCTTTGGGAAGCTGAGGCAGGAGGATTGCCTGAGGCCAGGAGTTGGAGAACAGCTTGGGCAACATATCAAGACACCATCTCTACAGATCAGCCTGGGCAACATAGTGAGACCCCCATCTCTACAAAAAATAAATTAGCTGGGTGTGGTAGTACGCACCTGTAGTCCTAGCTACTTCGGTGGCAGAGGCAGGAGGATTGCTTGAGTCCAGGAGTTCGAGGCTAGCTCACTACAGGAGCTATGTAAAGGACATAAAGAGCCCTTTACAGTTAAATCCTAATTTAGAGGACACAGCTGACTTTTGTTCTATTTCAAACCCCATTTCCCATCTAGTTTTAACCTTCTCCTTATACCCACTTTAAAAGGCAAAGGTCTGTTTGAAAGTAATGAAATTTCATGGATTAAGGTTCCATTATTTTCATTTTGGGGAAAGATTTGGATTCAATTCTGAAATGCCATCCAATCTCTGTGGTTCTTTGGCAACTCCATGTGTTTTGCTAAACAGTAACTCTGAGAACAAAATGGTTGAACAATTTGGCCCTAGGTCATATTTTAAGAACACCCATGCCTGGTCGTGGCATGTACAGCTAGCATTTAACAATTCGCAAGACAAAAATGAGTACTGAGTCACTGCCAGCTACAATCCCTAGATCTCAAAATTTTAAGTAATTTATGTGAAAGAAAATGTCACTTTTTTTGGTTTTCAATCACATTAGCAGTTTACATATTAGGATCTATCACAAAAGTCATACCGTCCATACAAAAGTTTGCCACATAACTTATCACCAAATGTGCTTCTAGTCTACATGTGTTCACATATAAAAGAGAGCTTAATGTATACTGTATACTATACACAGATGTATAGTATAGCATAAATGATTTAGTTTCTAACTAGTAAACTTGGATCTGCTTTGGATTATGACATTTTAAAATAAAAATGAACCACCCAGGAAATAATCATTTATGGCTGAACTAGTATTTTAAAGTCATTAATAATTCCTGTTTTTGAATAAATAGTATATTAACAATTAAAAGAGCTTTGGAGCAACTTGGTATAAATAATTGCATTTTCCAGATTTATCAGAAAATTTTGATGTGAATTATTGAAATGTTCACTTCCTCATATACACAGTAGGTGTTTTCAATATATTTTAAATATTCAAATATGTTAACAAAAAAGAACATATAAGCAAATCTAATAAGATTGCTTCTATTATTTTCAAAATTACATATATGATTGGGAAAACTTGTTATCAGTTGATTATTGCATTTAGGCAATACTTAGTTTTCTTAGTGATCACTTGGTTGTCTGTGTGTTCTAGCTAAATTCTCTACATTGACATGAAAAAGGGGAGAATAATCTACCTGGGATTTGTCACTGGACTGGATGGGATATCCTTGTCAAGAGCATGGAGCTATACCAGATGATTTTGAATTTTACCTGCTGGATTCTTCAGAGAAATAGTACACACACAGAGGGAGAGAGAAAGAGATTATGAAGGATTGGATCTGGTGATTATAGAAGCTGAAAAGTCCCACAGCCTACCATTTCCAAGCTAGGGGCCCAGGAAAGCTGGTGGTATAATTCCAGGCCAAACCCAAAGGCCTGACTCCAGGGGAACCAGTAGTGTAATTCACAGACTGAATTGAAAGGCCTGGGAACCCGGAGGGCTGATGTCCAAGGGCAAGAGAAAATAGATGTCTGAACTCAAATAGAGAGAGCAAATTTGCTTTTTCTCAGCATTTTTATTCTATTCTTGCCATCAACAGATTGAATGATGCCCATCTGCATTGATGAGAGTGATCTTCTTTACTCAGTCTATAGGTCCAAATGCTAATTCCAGAAGCATCCTCACAGACACACCCAGAAATAATGGTTTACCAGCTATCTGGGGCATCCTTTAGTCCGGTCAAGTTGACACATAAAATTAACCATCATACCTGCTGAACAAACTGCACGGAAACACAAAATTGTACCTCAATGTCGGCCCTCAAATTAGAGGTCATTGCTATGGTTTTCATCTAACAGTTTGCTAAAGGAATATTATGAATTTTAAAACCCTAATTATACCTCTTGCCCATTCTTGAGAAGGCATTTACCAAGGAAATGTGTATCTCTAACAAAAATTGAACCGTTCTTGAGTTTGCACTTAACCTCTGTCAGTTGTTGTGAGTTTTCCTCTCTACAGCTATGGTCTGTCTCAGAACTAGCTCCTGTCATCGAGGGAGAGGGAGTGCTGGCTGCTGACCTGTGGGAGGCCAGCCGCTGCTGATGCTCTGCTAGCCTCAGAGTCCTGGTCCTCTTGCTTGAAAGGTGTCCTAGAGCTCCTGCAGACAGATGCTCTGGGGCCTGACTGCTCTGTTGCTGGACTTTTCTGCCTTCCTCTGCCCTTGGGAGTCTATGTCATCTTCACTTCCCTTTACTTGCCAGGCTTCCTCTCCCCTGTGGCTGCCACCTGTTCCCAAGTTTCCAGAGTGTTTACCGGCTGCCCTGTGTGTCCAAACTATCTAGTTAAATTTAAGTTTTGTTTCTGAAAAGCCCAAATCTGCAAAGTCACATTAAGAACTGATAGTGAGAATTCTTTCATTTAACTTCTCTCCTAAACAAAACAATCCTGCCTGGTTGTCAGGGATGTTGTCTGCTTAAATGTGTAAATGTCCTTCACCTTTCTTGATTTTTAAGATTTGTTTTCAGGAAAACAGAAATTGCAACTGGAGGGCAAAAATGCACATTTCAGCAATACATAGAGGAACAAATTTATTCCTACATTGGCTATGGATAACACTCTCTTTCCCGATGTCTATAAACAGGGTCTGGTTCATAGTTCTAATTAATTAACTTTATTAACTTGGAGTAGAAAAGAGGGGGCAACTTAAGGAAATAAAAGGCAGTGGACCCTGCCAGACTAGTTCCATATAACTGCTTTTTTAACTGAAGGTAAAAGAGCAGTCACTTACTCATCACACATAATAAAGCAAAGTCGATGTTCACACAGACTGCATAGCACAGTCTACCTCCAGCTTATCCACAGAATATGTCAAGAAAAGAGAGGGGGGAAAGAGGAGCGAGTATAAGAAAAGAAAGCAATTTTTATTTCATTGAGTGCAAGTAGCAAGTTTATTTTCTTTGATATGAAATTAACAGAGCAATGATGCCCAAATGAGGTAAAATTACATTTGCATATGAAAACTTTCCTTGAAACATATATTTAGATATTTGTTAAAGTTATTGATTGTCAGATCAGAGAAATTGTAATTCCAGGTTTGTTCATAGAAATCAAAAATTTTGTTACTTGGTAAGTTTCAAAATGTCAATTTTATCCAAGAGTCATAATTACCAGGGGAAAAATACTCTCTCAGCTAAGACCAAGAGTTTTGGCAGCACTGTAATAACTGTATTACCCACTTCACACAAAAGCTCATACATTTTGCAAAGAGAGTATGTACATTCTTATTGCATCATTTTTGGAAAAAATGTGCTCAATTGCCTTATAGTCTCCCACAGGGTCTACTTACTAAGAATTCCACAATGATGATAATGGGGTTACCTGTCATTTCCTTATTTGATAGCTAGCTCTGATATATTTAGTTACATGTTTCTGATGTTGTGCTGGTAGCATGTAAATCCCAGGTTTTACCTTGAGCCTTATAAACAATACACATGGAATATATATGTAGCTAGAGTTGAGGCTGATAACTTGACATTCATTAATGTTAAATATAGTAAAAATTCCGGTGGCTTAGAAAGATGGTATTTTCTTAAGGACACATTGCTGAACACATGGCCACCTACCTGCTCTCTAAAGCAATATGTATAATTTAACTACCAAATATAGAACAGATGAATACCAGGAGACAAAAAAAGCATTAAACCCATTACAATCTTAAATAAAGCAAACCCTCAAGTTTATAGAAAAAGCATTGCAATCATGTATTTAGCTTTACTTTTCTAATATATATCATAATTTAAAACTATAAAGTCACTTATATAAAAGCAATTTTTTCAAGTGTTATAGCTTAGAGCATGGCTTTATATTTAGCTTAATCATTTTTTACCAGTTTAACTTATAAAGCTCGTAATCTTGCCAGCAGGGCTTCAACTTCAGGAACTGATTCGTTTTTAGAAACAGAGCCAAGAAGTTCCATTTCCTTTTTTCTGTTGCTTTCTACATTACAGGCTTCCTTCTTCTCAACTGCCTTGATCCTCCCTGTAGACGTATGAGTGTCTAGATTATAATTAAGCTCCTTGGCGACTGGAGTCCTTGTTGAGTTGCAATTGATATTGCAGTGTGAACGTGACCCTTCTGTCAACTGCACTTTCTGATTTTCTACAGTAAGAAAGAAAGAAACATAAAACTTATCACCATGATAACCAAGGACTGTGCACATTATGAAACATAAATTTAAAATAAATTATCCTCAATAAACAAGTCCCCGTAGATAAACAAAGAAACATTGAACAGAGTAAGTAGGTTTAAAATAAACACACAGAGGTTAAAAATAAACTAAAATATAATAGAGAATCATTTCATTAGCACTAATGCCTATTTCCTTCTTACTTTATGCCTGAAATGCCTGGTAATTGTCATGGTTTGGTTTCATATTTCATTCAGGTCTCTGTTCAAACAACACCTCAATGGAGAGGCCTTCCCTAACCATTCACCTAAAAATCGCCTTGTGCATTGCTCTCTCTCCTCATGTTTTCCTTCACAGGAATCATGATGGCTTACCATATCATATATTTGTTTACTTGTCCACTGTCTTTTACTAGAATGTATATTCCAAGCCATCAGGGATATTGTTATTTTATTTTACTATTTTTAAAATTTTTATAGATTTAGGGGGTACAAGTATAGTTTTGTTACATGGATATAGTGCATAGATGTGAAGTCTCAGTTTTTAGTGTAACCACCACCTGAATAGTGTTCTTTGCATCCATTCAGTAGTTTTTCACTCTTCCTTTCCTTCCCACCCTTCCAAGTCTCCAATGTCTATTATTCTACTGTGTATGGGACAGTATTTTAAATACTGCGGTAGCTTCAGTGCCTAGAATGGCCCTAGTGCAAAGTAGGTGCTCAATAAATGTTGGATAAAGAAATTATATCCATACTCTATGATCTAAGATAAGCATTAGTTTGAATGATAATGAGATTAACTTCCTTTAACAAAAGCAAGGAGAAAATTTTCTAATAAGAATTTTGAAAGTCAATGATTTCCCTTAAAAGAAATAATGAATTTGGTAGGCAAATTATTAAAACTTCGTACAAACCAGAATTATATCATAATGTAATTGTCAAGTATATACATGCCTGTACATACATACATACACACATATACACAAGAATATTCTTTTATTAGATGGCAATCCTGATTTATCAAGGCTAAAGGAGAGAGTTGCAATAGCTAATGATTAAATGGCACTGGCTGATTGACTTTCCCAAAGAGACTGTGATTGTCTTTTAATTAACTGACTCTCACATTGCATAGCCTTATGAGTGATCTTTCTCATAGATCTCCAACTTTAAAAAAATAGACACCCTCAATATTCATGTAACCTTGAAAGGGACTTGAAAATGGCTTCAACAAACTTGACATGACATTTAAAGTTTTTTGGTTATTCGCTGAGAGATGTTCCATTATCCCAATAGTAATGACTTTGGAGCACAAGCAGTCACTCATGACATTGTGTTTTATGTGAGTGCTGAAAATTCCAACTGAAAACAGCTTGTACATTAAAAGGTGGCTGCTGAAGATATTTACTGCACTGTCATTTCCTGACCAGGGGCTTCCAGTGATGGATGAGGATTTTACACACTTTCTTGGACAATCTCAACAAATTTTAGAAGTATGATCACCTTTTAGCTGTTGGAAGAAAATAAATACACTTTTCCTATCACTTTCTCTATCAGGTGGGCGATTGTTACTCAAAAATCAAAATCTAATAGGGCAGTGATTTTCTCTTAAAGGCGTTTATGCTCTGTAGCTTATAATGTACATATCGTGTTTGTGGGAAAGAGCACAGTGGATGTGGTGTTCCTGTAGTTCCCGTGACCATGTAAATTTATATTTTTCTGGCACCCACCCTCCTCTCCCAAAGGGTGCTTGAAACCTGCATGTGTAGCTAAATTCAGATTTTTAGCCAGATTACTGCTCTTTACCCCAAATGTTCCTATCTGTTCGTATCATTTGATTTCTTGTAAACTATTCCATCATGATGATATTTCCAAACAAACCAGTTTATTCTGCTACTGGGTAACTCTAGTTAAATGTTTAATGGCAGATAAGAGGTTAAATTGGCCAAAATATGGGTCTTACATATGAATACACACACACACACACACACACACAAATCCTAGCTTCTACGACTATACTGTTTCAAACCCAATTCCATATGCAGCAAAGTGAAAACAACATGAGATTTCAAGGTAAACCTGGGTTGAAATCCAAGCTCTACCACTTGGCTTTAACAGGTTACTTACCCTCTTTTAGTCTCAGGTTCTAATTAATAATCAATCTCAAAGAGTAGCTGTGAGGATTAAGGGAAAGAATGTGGGTGACACCTACTTAGAGATACTTTCCTTTCCTTCCTTTTTCGAAGCTTTCTAAGGAAGGCATCCCCCACCAAAGGCTTAGGGCTTATTCAGAGGCTCTGACCTGTCTGAGTTTTTGGTGACCACCAGTGAGGGCTGAAATACCATATTATGAACAGCTTGTATTAAATAGCACCTTTATTTATAAAGCATTTGTTGCATTTTAAACATTACCACCCTTAGCTTATGGATCGAGGGGTAAAAGGAAAAGGAGGTTAAGTCATTTGCTTAGACCTAGTTACTCCGTAAATCAGTGGCTAAAGCCAAATGCTTTCTCTAGAGATACTTGAGGCTGTCTTAAAGAAATCTGAAAAGATTTTTGCCAAAGAAATGTGCTAAGTAATTCAAAGCTAAGTTTCATAATAATGGTGTCCTATACTTATGTTTTAAAATGCTTTCTGACACACTGAATTCCTGCAACAACTTTGTAAAGCAGATAGTATATCTCTGTAAACTACCTTACCACAATATGTCTAAGGTTACACATATCCTCCTTTTCTTTCCTGGTCTCACTTAAACTCATGACTGTGAACTTCAAAAGCATGGCCTTAATCCCACGACAATCCCCTATTCCTGTGGTCCCGCATTCCTGGGCTGTGCCCTCGTACTCCATGGAGGCCTGTTACGAATCCGGCCCCACATCACTGCCTGATCTCCACCTCCCTGCCCTCTTACCACCCGCTCTGTCGGTGGAAGAATTGTCTTTCATGAAACTGGTCCCTGGTGCCAAAAAGGTTGGGGACAGCTGCCCTAGTCCATTCACTCTTCCATTCTCCTAGACAACTATTTACTTCACACCTCCTCCTCTCTTTTCAAAACTCCTACATGTCCTCTCTCACTCTCAGTTAACTCATTCATAGAAGCAATCATAGGAGAACTCCCACGAGCGTCTCAGCTCCCCCAACATCTATTATCCACCTACTGCACACACATACATTCCTTCCCCCCATTAGGATCAATCAACCTTTTGTGCTCTGCTCTGAGGACAACTCCTCAAGGCGAGCACCAGATATTGCTCTCTCTTGTCTATTCAAGGACATCGTCTGGCTGCTGTGCCCTCTCTCTACTGCATTATAAAGGTTTCCTTCTCCATTTGATCACTCTCTTCAGCATACAAGTATGTTGTAATAACCCTAATCTTTACAGAAAAAAAAATCTATCTCCACATCCTGCTCCAGCTACTAACGCAATTCTTGGCTCCCTTTATAGCAAAACATCTTGAAAGAATTGCCCATACTTACTGTCTCAATTCTTCTTTCCCCATTTTTCTCTTGAACCCACTCCAATCATGCTTTTGACCCTTTACTCTTCTGACACTGTTCTTGTCGAGGTCACTAATGAACTGCGTGTTGCCAAAAACAAGGATTGTATATCCATTTGGACGTCTTAGCCCTCCTTTACTGGATCTATATCAAATCCAAGGATGAAATGCCCAGGATAGACTGGGTTTTTCTTTTAGTGTTTGGTTTTTGAACTTCTTTGGAAGCTTAGGTAAATAACAATGGATGGGCCAATGCAACCAAAAGCATTTCTACCCTTTTGAGAAAACTCAAAATAGCTGTGGGCTTGCTTTAGGGACATGATGATAAGAGAAAAACTAAGATGGTATTTATCTCCTCTGTGGTTTCAGGTGAAGAATCTTTCCTGAGAAGCAACAGGCAAGACAGTATAAAAAGGAAAGAGGCCATTCCTGAGACCACTGAAGAAATAAAAAAGAAAGTACACAAGGGGTTTTTAAAGCAAGTTTATAGCTCTGTTAGAAATTCCTAGATAACAACTCTTCACTCCCAGTCCTCACATTGATCTTTCAGCACCCCAGCAGCCCCCATCCTGATTGAGGGAGTCTCATCTTAAATTGCAAAGCAGATAAATGAAGTTGGGTTGGAGGAATTGCCTATCCCACTGCAACTAGAGAAAATGATTACAGGTAGAGGAAGCTCCCAAGTTGGAAGTTCATTTTTATATAGAAATCTTATTATAATGTTGGTTCAGGGCCAGGTGTCTTTTGTCATTATTATTATTTTGAAAGTTTCTTATTGGTGGCTTCACGAGGGCTGAACAGGAGACCTAAATTCCATGGAAAAACATGCATTTAGTTTCTAAATGATTGCCTTTCAAACAACAGGGAGTTGCCACAACCCTCTAAGTTGGATACTCTATATAGGTGCTCAGAGGTACAAATAAATAGTGATTTGAGGCAGGTGGGCTCATCCTTTTCATATGAAATTAGGCAGCTACAAATATAAGATGACACACTAGGACACATGGACTCAATGAAAGGTAAGGCTGAGCTCACAATATAAAGAGAAGCATTTCTTTTTTGTATTTCTTTTCAACTTAAATCCTTACCATACATACTTTAAATAGAAACTAAAAACATTAAGGCAAAGTAAGGATGATTGCTTAATTTAACAGAGAGAGGAAGTTTGTGCTATGATTTTATAAATTGAATCCTAGGCCTTTTTCCCTTTAAGATATTACAACTCATGTCTATGCATGATATATCTAGGAATACTGCCAAGATCAAGGGCCATGGTGATTGTACTACAGAGAAGGCAAAGCAGCAGCTGCTATTCTTAGTACCAAATCAGTAAGGGAACCTAATCCACACATCTTGTATTTGGGTTTCTGTGGAAATAAACAGGATGAGAATACATGCCATTTTCCTTTAAGACAGGAAGACTCACTTATTTCAATTTAATTACTCATCTGATTCTTATGCCAAGAATTGAATCTGG